AAGGGATCGAAAGGGCGACCTGGCTCGAATAATTTCCTTGATAAAAACCATCATTGACCCTGCTGACCCCACACTGACTCCCAGTCCAAGCACCTGTTGCGAGGATGATGGCCGTGTGGCTGTGGAAGTACCAGCAAAAGCCCAAACTTCTGGCTTTGATGGACCAGCATTTGCCACCATCGGATTCAGCGCAGCTGAGGACGGGTGTGGAAGGGATGGTTCACCATCGCTCAGCCACTCAACTTCCGGTACCTTTCAACTTTATTCATAGTGAGTTGTTTGCCACGTCAATGACAACCTTGACTGAACTTAGCTAGCTGCCAGTTGCCCTGCTGACCACATCATTGTTTTTCAGGAACAACCTCAAAGGACCACATCACCTACCGGGAGACCTTTGGTGGACGACCCTTTACGAAGGAAGCCCTGCAGAAGAACATCAAGGTCCCTGACGGACAGCCATGGATTGCATGTCCCTTTTCTCAGTTCATGGTGATATTTTGGTTTGTGACTACAGCAGAAAGAGCAGATTAAAAACAACAAATAATGACAGAAACCATTTTCTCAGGGCGGTGCATCAAATTTGGGCGGTGTTGAGGCCATTTTAGGAGGGGATAGGAGGGGCTTACCTTGGCTTACCCAAGTTCAGCTTAGTCACCATTTGAAACTACAAACCAGTTTTTCGTGCATTTGACTCAGTGAGGCTTGGACCCACGAAGCCAGAAAGCAGCGACCTTCGTTTCTGAGTTCCTGTTTGGGCAATCCTATGATGCAATGGTGAAACAGGCTGTACGTCACAGCCAAAGCCTTGAGGAGGTGCTGGAACACGCCAACATTCACAAAACATGGCAGGAGATCGTGGCTTCTGGAACCGAGCAGGCAGTCATGGATGTGGACTTGGATGGATCAGGCCGCAGCATGGATGCCTTGTCCAACTTCGTGGAGGTGGAAGCTTTGTCGAAGCTCCAGATGCCCGAACATTCAAGCCAAAGGCAAACAGTTGAAAACGCTGTGGAGCTCTCGCGACGCATGGTGAAGTCCCAGATCCAGACGGTGGATGGCAGCCAGTCGCTGGAGAAGTTGGCCAAGCTGCTGTTTAGGATGGATGTGATGAAGTTGAGGGGCGGCACTGACCACTCCTTCCTTGTCCTGTATGGCATCGAAGCGGCCGGTGAACACGAGAAAGATTCCCGGCGGTCCCCGACCCCTGCTAGAAGAGACCACCAGGAGAAGATCATGAGAGCCATCTTCTGCAGCCGCGGAGAGGAGCTGCTGAACTTCGACGACAGCGACAAACTCGTGTTCCCACAGCTGGACCCTAGCGATGTGTCCCACGGCCACAATGCACGACAATGTCAAATCAGCAGTCACTGATTGACATTGACACATCCTACATGTCAGTGACACACTTGAACTTGTGCGTGGTATGTTGGCACCACTGTATGTCACAGTCACTGACTCCAATAAGTTGAGTGGATGTCATTGACACGTATTTTGGGATATGTCCTTGACACTTCGTGTCACTCACATGTATCGGTGTGTCATTGACTCAAATGAGTTGAGTTGAGGTTGACACTGACCTTGGGACAAAATTGGGCACTGACCCATTCTGATTCGCACCTGCCCTTGGTAGCTACATTTGGAAGGTATCTCTTCATGGATGCTGGGCGCGTCGGGACGCAGTCTGCATTCGTGCAGTTGTTCAAGGCGGTTGAGTCAGGACCATATGCCAAGCACACCTTCAACGTGAGCTATGCAGAGGACAGCGTCAAGGAGCACAGGAAGGCTAGCTTTTCAACTTGTTATTTCATCGTAACCTTTTTTGTAGTCATGGAATGATGACTTTCACGATTTCAACCATCCTGTGTCTTCAGGCCCGCTCTTTGTCTGGATCTTCAGTTGAGCGTGGAGTTTCTGGGCGTCGTAGCTGCGGAATGTTGTAATTTATCATGTGTTTTCTTCGCATTGCTTACTTGGACTGACTCGTTCACCCCTGATTTAATAATAGGACCACGTTCATTCCAATTTGATTCCGTTTACCTGTTTACCTGGCTATCACAATGAGGTCTTCACTCTCCCCCAGAACGAGACGATTGTCATTGTGCCTGGTGATGCGACTCGCATGAGCAACATAGTTGGTTCTCGGAAGAATTTGCATCATTCTGGAACCACATCTGGAAGTTGCCTGATGGAGTGCTTCAAGTCGAACCTCAAAGATGTTCCTGTCCTGGCCACAGCTGACAAGCACGCGATGCTTGCTAGCGCCCGAGTTTCGGATGAGAGCCGTGTGTCCAGCGGACAGGGTTTCTAGGTGGCATGATAATTTGTTTAGTCTTTCACTGTTTGTCAGTGCAACCTTGGTTCACCACGTCGTTTTGAGGTCAAGATGTTCCTGGCCTGGAGCCTATGGACTGGTCCATCCTGCACCCCAAGGTTTTCGAGGAACTTGTTCACCGGTTTCGCCCAAAGGCCGTTGTCTTGGCAACGGCCTCATGCCCTAGTATCCTGACCTGCGTGCTGGAAAACCAAATCCCGACCTTGGCGATTTGTTTCTTGGACGAGCAGTTGTTTAAAGTGATGATGTCAATGACTGACTGTCATTGGCCTACTGTCATTGACTCACTTGGTTTTTTTCAGAACAACCAGTCGGACTGTCACGCAAGCATGACCCAAGGCTACTCTGCAAAGCATGAGACTTGGTACCAAGACAACGCGAGCAAGACCCTCTTCAAGATGATGTGCCAGGCCAAATCTCGACACTACCAACCGGAGTTGGCCAAAGCCATCAAGGATACCAAGAAAAATGATGAAGAGGCGGAGGGTCAGCCGGCTCCTAAGAAGAAGCCTCGCGGTGGTGGTAGCAGCAGTGCTCTCAAGAAGAAGCGCAAGAGCCGTGGCAAAGGGAAGAAGGGCCGTGGCAAAGGCAAAGCTCCAAAAAAGCGAAAGGCCAATGATGATGATGAGGAGGATGGCGGTCTTCTTGAAGAAGACGAGGAGGACGACAAGTTTCAAACCATTGAGGGTTCATAGTTATAGTCGTTCACCAACTTGTTTCACCAGAATACATGGTCATTGTCAAACATTTGCCTCACACATGACATTCTTTAACCGACCTTTGCCAGGAGATCGATGATGGCAGCGTTGAGGAGGGCAACTCGGATGATGATGAGGAGGAGGAGGATTCCGTGTAGAACACCTTCTCGGCTTGAGGCTGGAATTTTTGGTTCGCCGCATGGCAGCAGGAGTCCATCTCAAACGGCTGCTTTCCACAGGTTTGAGCAACGACCCACGCAGCATCTGAGAAGCCAATGTTGGGTGGTATCACTGGTCGCGCGCAGCTCAATCTGTCTTACGCGCAGCGTTTTTGGAAGGTCTGTTTTTTCTGGGAGTCTAATGTCTATTGTGTTTCTCAAGCCTTAGGTTTGGACCTGCTGCTTTTTGAGAAGGTCTTAGTTCCAAACCCATTTTTTCACTGCTTGCGGCCCAGTGGTCAGATTTGCAAGTGACTGCAAGAAAACTTGACAGAAGTGAGATGGTTGTGACACTGATGATGTCTGTAGACTGGGAAGTTGGGTGAATGGCTCTGACGGTGCTCAGGTCTCTTGGACATGGCTGCGCATGGCGCTGGGAACGCCAAAAGACTGGGCGCCTTGCAGCGTCAACCAGCGGGTTGTTCTCGCGCATGGTCAATGGTCAGTGACGTTGTCATGTATGAGCATGGTCATTGTCATGTTCGGTCAATTTGACATGATGTAGTCAGCCAGTCATGCGTATTCCATTTTCGCACATGGTCATTGTCGTCATTGTCATGGCGTTGTTAAACGTTCATCGTCGTGGCTACTCAGTGCGCTGGCAGCCATTTGGCTTCCCAGCTGCCACTGGCCAGGTTTGACTACATGGAACTTCATCGTCACTGACCAACGTCATTTTTGCCAAGGAAAGTGATAGTGAACACCTTTGAGGTTAAAACCATGGACCCACTCCACTTTTTGTGCCAAGTCGGCAGCCTCATCCCGGTTCCCATCGCTCCCATCACCTGTAAGCCATGAGTTCTCCGCTCCTGTTCGTCCAGCAGTTCAATGCGAGTGGCTCTCACGCCCAGGGGCAAAACATCAACTCCCAGCCCCAAAGCCAACGCTTCTACACCAACTTGCAATTTGGCACTGGCTGGAACTTTTCTATTTGCTGTTGTGGCTGTTTGTTTGACTGTTTGGGTTGCCATTTTCTTTGTCTGGTCCCACGTGCTGTTTGCTTGCAAGGAATGACACGTCTAAGATGGAGGAGGTCGTGGTGGAGGACAGTGCAGATGAGTGGTCGTCGAGTACTCACTCTTCGGACAAAGGGTGGGAAGAGTGCATTCCTGTCTCTCGTCGCAAGATGCGCCGGAAGGTGAAGAAGGTGACAACGAAGGAGAATGTGACACAGAAGTTCAAAACACAGACCACAGAAGTTGTGAAACAGGAGAAGAAAGCGACTCAGACCTTGGACTTGAAGACAGTGTGCCCGGTGACACCACCCATGGGGCCAAAGGCCCCGCCGATGCTGTTCACGCCGCCTTTGACACCAAAGCCCAAAACACTACCCAAAAAGCGGCTCAGACCAAAGCCAACTCAGTCAAAGAGGGTCCGGTTGGATAACCAGCTCGCTAAGTTGAGGCTGCAAAGGGATCGGTTGAGTTTCGAGTTGGCGATGTTGGTGAGGGCAAAGACCATGATGGGGCCATCCGGGCTGTATGCCATGGTTGATGGCAAGCTGGCCTGAGTATCCATTCCTGGATGTAAGGATAGTTTGAACTTCAAGAGTTTGAAACTGCAAGCATGGTGAAATCCAGGATATGGATGCGAATTTTCCTTTTTCCTTTTAAGTTTAAGCGCCGTCGAAGCATTGGCCGAGATCCCTGGCCATCGAACTTTAATTGGCCGAGATCGCGGGCCATCGAAGCATTGGCCGACAATGAGTGGAAAAAGTTCAGCGTGCATTGCATGCGAAACAACAACCCACCAACCGAATTTTCATTGTCACTTTCCACTTCTTTCTTGTCCGTCTGAGGTCCATTGGATGGACTGCTGTGTGACCGCCCCGCCAGTGGAAAAAGGGAGATGGGCTGAGTGCTGTTGGGTTATGATTGGATGGACTGCTGTGTGACCGCCTCGCCAGTGGAATAAGGGAGATGGGCTGAGTGCTGTTGGGTTATGAACCACTCAGATGACTCTTCCTGTCAATGACTTTTTTGGTTAAATGTTTGTTGGTTATGAACTGTTCATAGGCATTGACTACTTGACACTGTCAGACAGAGTTTTGTAAGGTTGTAGCTAAGTCATTGACTCAGCCAGTGTTTCATGAAAACATTTTGGACATTGACTTGGCCCCTCCCTAGTGATGCACACCCAACATAAACAACAAGCAATCATTCTTGAAACCTACCAACCACTCAACTCAACACATAGCCTAAATCGTTCTAATAATTTTCAAGTTCTAATTCCAACCACTCCAACCATCCAACCACTCAGCGCATAAATTATTCTGATGTTACTACTCAAATCCTACCAGCCACTCAGAAGTGATGATATGTAAATCCTACCAAAATGATTCAGGTTGTCTCAAACAGACTCCATTGTATGATATGATTGGTGCAGAATGAAACTTTTCAGGAACACTGAGAAGGAATATAAAGAATACATTAATCAGCGGCCAGTCTATCAACGACTACTATGTTCAATGCTGCTCAGTGGGCCCTACGCTGACCATCTCCAAGAAGCTTGTCAACACCGTTGCTTGAAATATGTTGAACTGGATGTTGATCTTTTGATTGACTTGTTACAGTCTACCGGCAGCTACCATCTAATCATCATCCAGCGCAACCCATCCAAGGTTTGGCAGCAAAGCTTCAAAGACCGACTGCGAATCAGGTTTAAGACACACCATAGCAAACGCTCTACATGCTTGAAGCACCGGGCTATCATCAGACGCCTCGGGCATTGCCCGCCTGCAAGGAGATCTCAAGTGGAGATACTCCAACGACACCTCAAAAGGCAGCGTGATGACCGGCAGGTCTATTGGGCCAGCAGAGCCCGTTCGCGTCTTGAAAGCTCACACCCGTATGTCTACCACTTGTGTGGAATAATAGACTCTATGGACGCTGCCAAGCACGCGTGGCCGAGATCGCAGGCCCTATCCTCGAAGGACTTCTCGGCAATGAACAGACCCCGTTTGACTGTGACTAGCACAACTTTGATTCTACAGGGCCACTGTCTTTGCTTAGCACTGAGTCCAAGCACGGTGACTTCGAACAGTTCCAGGACGGCAGAGATCATCAGTCGCGGCCTCACAATGGTCAGCAAAACAGTTGATCTCCGGAGCGTCTCATTGACGCTCCAAGGAGACAACTGTTGTCGTGAGCTGAAGAACAACGGCATTCTCAGGTGTCTGGGGGCATGGGTTGTACAACACAAGTTGAAGTCCAGTGAAATAAGCTGCCTATCTAGTGGCCACAGCCATGAAGATATAGACGCTCTTTTTGGCCACCTCCGAAGCTGGATAAACTCTCACACCGAATTGCCAACCCCTGCGTCGTTCCGCTCATGCCTTGAAGCGTACTTCAAAGACCCCACCCGGCGACCCAATGAACCACTGAGAGAAGTCGTCATGATGAATCAATATCGGGATTGGAGCCTTCAACAAACGAGCAATGTTTTGCTTATAGATCTTTTACAATATGTTCTAGATCATTTGCAATCTGGTGGGACTCTCTGAAATTGGGAAATTAAGGAAGAACTTCTTCCATGACCGATGACCCTTTTTACAAAGTCCAACTTCGTGGAATCGGTGGCCCTGGTGCACCACATTTGGTGCGACTGGATCGCATTGGGGACACAGGTTCCAGACTGTTCAGCTCCATTGTATGATCAAGAGCAAGTGTGTTCATGAACTGCATGATCAAGTGCGCACTGTGCCCCGTGCACGCTTCTGAGAACTCTGCAACCGCCAGGCATTCGGCATGAAGATGTCAACGACGCTTTCTGGAGGAGGAGAAAGTGCTTTGAACGATCCGCAAGTGATGTCATACTCAGGACTGTTTTTGGATGTCGTTTTGTGGGTGAACATTGGGTTTAGAAATGAGCAACCTGCCTAGTATGTATTTTTTCTTTGCAAGGACCAAAAGGTTCTCAGCAACGCAGAATGGGATTCCAAAGTTTACTTGTTTCTGTCTGCTTCGGTCGGAAGAAGGTGCGAAGGCCGTGTTCCTCCAGGTGGGCTAATGAATGACACTGATGGACACATGTTTTGGCATCAATATTGCCATTCATTGACTGCGTCGATATTGTTTCGCCAGTCTTCACGGAGCCCCCCATCAACCCAGAGTCTAAAGAAAACAAGACATTGCGAAGATATGCGCAGATCATGCGTCCGTGTCTTATTCAAGAACTGTTCTGATACGAATACCAATCGTTGCTTTTTCCTGGACTACAATAGTTGGTTCTAAGGTCAAGAGCCTTGGGCGATGCACGACGCCGCCAAAGAATTGGAAAAGCTTTCTTTGGGCGTTGTCGAGGGGGCTATGTTGGATTGCCACTGGTTCGAACCTCATGCTTTCAAAACAACCCTTCCGCCCAGCGCCCCTTCGGCTCAGGGCACTACCCCACCATGGAGTTGCTGTCGGATCATCGGCTAAGCACCTTCCTCCCGCTCAGGATTTGACGTGCGTTGGGGACTTGGGGACTTTGGGATTTGATGTGCGTGTGACAGATTAATGTTAACGTTAAACACTTGTGTATTCTTGCCTAGGCAGCAAATGAATTGAAGCTGGTGTCTGAGTCGTTGGATGGCGATGAAGCAAAACGCTTCAGAACAGCAAGGGGGTATCAAGCTCTTTACAGTGCTGCAGCGCAGCTTTGGAGAGAAGGTGTTGACATGAGCCGCGCAATTCAAATAGTTTCAAAGGCAGTCGACATTGCGTCTGGCAAGTCTTAGGCTGTCTTTCGGGGGAACACCTGTGATTCAGGGTGGAGCTGACACTGAGATCACTGTTCAATAACCGTTCCATTTGTTTTTCGTTTGCTTCGAGGCTACATCCTACCCAACACAGGTGTGTTTGTGAACTGACAGGGGTGCCCAACCACTGAGATTGTGAAAGGCAATTTCCTAACTGGCAACCCGGCTTTTGGCGGACCGCTGTTTGTGAATGATCGGGTCGTTCCACGGCACAAGCACCATCCAACTCAGAGCAAATCTGCATACTGTGTATTTGAGTTTGCCTGTTGAATTGATTTCAAAAAATCCCATGGGTGATTGTGAATGTACGGGTCGCCCCGCGGCACAATCATGGGCAACTGAGAGACATGGCTGGGTGTGAAGGATTTGCCATTCACAAAACCGAAGTGAATTGGAGCAACACTATTCACAATCTCTGGAGAGATGCTTGTGGACAAAGGGCTCGGGGACACCAAACAAGGAATTGATCTGCTGCTTTTTGGTAGTTCGACACATAATAGTTTTATTCTCTTTGAAACCGGTCCTGGGCCAGGTGACGCCGCCCAAGAAAAGACCAGCGCCTGGAACCGGCGCGGGGCCGAAGGCGAAAGCCAAGAAGGGTGAGCTCCCACCCCTACCGCCAGATCACAGGTCAATGCCCCATATGCAGCTCTTGGATGAGTGGCTGTTACATGGCCAAATCAATGAATACCGAACACTATCGAACACTGTATCAACTGTTTGCGCGGTATGCATTGGGGAAAAAGGAATGATAGCATATGATAGCATCAACCGTTACAAGATGTTACAAGCATTTGCTGGGCCAAGGGTGGAACACATATTGAAGCCCAACAAAACTGTGGACGCCTACCTGACAGAGGAACTCGACTCGAAGGACAGGTGAATGTTTGCACACAAATTTTTGTTGGGGGGAATGTTACAGTCAGTAGGATGCAGCCACCGCTTTCTACCAGTGGGTGGAAGCAATGGTCTATGCTGACCCAGCTGTGTGGTGATCTCAGGGACTCTACTAACCTACAGCCTGTATCCAATCTTCATGGGCTGAGGTCATACTGCATGGCGACCGATTTCAACGGGCCTAAGCTGGCTCTTCACCTACGACCCTGGCAGCTTCCACACCGCGCAGATTTTGGTCTGCGTGGGACGTCGGAATTTGCCAGATACCTAGTGTTCCAAGCTGCACCTGCGCATGTTGTGGTTTTCCATTTTTGCATTGAGGAAGTGCAGCATCAGCTGATGCAGCTGATATGCCTAAATGGCCTGCAAACCAACCCAGATTGTCCTGGATGTGAACGCGTTGTAGGCACATGGCTTCAAAAGGAATGGCTACAGCTTCCTCGTGAGGAGATTGAGGCCTCTGACTTCAACGCACCACCCGAGCCTTTGGGACCAGAGAAGATCTTCATGGTCAAGGGCTGGAATCGCTCAGTCTGCGGATTGGGTGTGTTATACGCAGCTTTCAAGAATAAGGAGCTGTTGAAGGCCTGGGGCTGACTACAACTTCATGAAAACAGCACACAGGGATGCATATGTTTGTTGAGTTGAACCGTCAGGCATTGCCCAAGCAGGTGCTAGAGCCCCTGGACTCGCACTAGTCGCATTGCAAATATGTACATCTTATATCATACCGAATTATACCCTTCATATGTTTTACATAACAAGAATCTCTTGGTTCGACTTTTTTTATCAAACTACTCGCCAAGATCCTTTGCCACCGTCCACACAACCGTGACGGCACCTGATTCAACGATGATCGTGAACACAAATCGTGGCACTCCAGCTGCACAATGCCTTCCAGCGCAGATTGAATGCATGTGACCCAATGTGTTTGCTCAATGTCTTGAGATGATGAGGAGTGACAATGGCTTCTTCGGTCCGCAGGAGGCCCAACTGCTTCAACCTAGTCTTCCAACTCGAGTTCTTGATGCGGTGTGGACACAATCAAGAAGCAAGTCTCAAAACGCTAGAGGCAGGGGCAAGAATGAAAAACATGCGAAGAACACCAATTCCGAACGTGCCAATGCAATGTTCAATGTTACATTCCAAATTGCCTCATCAGGCCCAGGAATCCGCTGCCACCTTCGCAACCGCATATGCACTTGGAAAGCATGAAGCAGCCGCCACCATGAACCTCATGCGGCGCATACCGAGCGACATCAAGGAAGGATTGACCTCCTTGGTGAGGCAGGGACAATTGGAACCGGGTATTTTGTGATTGGACCAGGCAGGTGCTTGTCAAGCAGGGTCTTGTTGACGGCAAGCCAGGCAATACACGATGCCAAAGTTCATCAACCATGATGGATTAGCGGAAGGGTTGCTGAATCTGAACTATTGTAGTGCCACCGGTCCACATGCCTCTTGGAAGACCCAGCTCCAGAACACACATGAGACCCTGGTGTTCATGCTGCACAGAATGGAAAGCGATTGGGTCAGTCTCACACCCAAAATGCGGAAGCCTTGGGGGATGAAGGATTTGGCAACTAAGAACAAGCTTTGGTGAACCATAGTTTTGTTCCAGATCAACTAAACATATAGGTTCGGTTTGGAATCCGTTCTCCTTCTGAGGTACCACTCCAGAAGATTAGTTGCCTCTTTGTGGCTTGCGTCGATCAGTTCAAATCCATGGTTCCGACAGCTTTCAGTGATGCTGCCCTCATCGAGGTGAACAAAGCGTTGCTCATCGTAAGGGTGTCAGTCATTCAAGCTTAAGTTTGTATCAGTTACCATTGAAAGGATGTTTCAGTTCAACCAGTCATATCCCAGGTTTGAAAAGCGCCATGCAGACGCTGACTTGTTGGCGATGCTCGATGGAGGAGTACCACCTCTCGAAAGTGAGCGTCTTCGCAGTGCATCTTTCAAAATTCTCGACAGAGGCCAGGTGCGTATTCACCAGTCTGCTGTACCCCAAACCTCATTGGAAAGTTAGTTCCCTTTGAACTCGAAAGACCATTCGCGTCCCTCCACACCGGTCCCAAGGTGGAGAAGCGGAACCTCGAAAAGGCTCAGCAGCTTCTCGGCCTAAGAACTGGGCAGGGCAACCAATCGTGATCTGAGTTGTATCGTTTGTGGGAGGCTCAGCCCACAATTGCTCAATACCACATGGCAACAATTGGAGTTGCAAGCGGAGCAGGACAAGTTGAATGGTCTAGGAAATTTGAGGGCTTCATCTCCAAGCAGGCTCCCTCCTACTGATCTCAAAACATGCCAAATGGTCTCACAGTCTCACGCCATGTCACTATATATTATATATATATGAACATATGAAAGAACATTTTCCATTGTCCCTATTATTTTCATCTTCCCTCGCGCCAGGGATCAATGGATGTGAAGTACTTCTCAGACCACTACGACAAAGGCAAGGCTGCAGTGGACAAGCTCCTGGCCGAGAAGCATCGCGTTGTGTGGCATTCTTCGGTCTGCATGGGGCATACTGCCACAAGTTCAGTGCAAAACTGTTCAGTGCAAATTTGCAAGTTTCTCGATCCATGCACCGACACTCAGGTTGACCGTCTTGATTGCAGATGCAACCTTGTGGCCAACGCGCGCCTGTGCTTCAACCACTTATTAATCAGGCGATTGTCCAACCTACATTAAAGCCATCTTGGGCCTGAGGTGCGTTGTCAATCGACGAAGCGGTCCAAGTGGCGCAGGGCGTGACCTCTGGGAACCCTAAATCAGGTTCCTTTTGGTTCCTGCCACAATGGCACAGCAGCGCGGTCAAGGTTGCAGTGCTGAAGAATCGACGACTGCTAGAAGATGAAGTGGTAGGGAATCTTGGGTGTCTTTTATGTCTTTCATGTCTTTTATATGTTTTTCGAGGAACGCCCAAGCACCCAATCAAGGCATCACCTAGAGACTTGGGATTCTTCACCAGTTGCCCCTCTTCAAAAACACATCGCCCAGAACTTTGGACGTGTACGAGATCGCCGTTGTCTACAAAGACAGCCAGCATGGAGGAGATCGCAGGAAGAAAAGCCAACAGTGTTTCTTGCTTCTGTTCACAAAAGGGTTTTATCTAAACGCATCCGAAACACATTTGGAACAACAATAGGTTGTTTGAAAAAAGGTTTTCGCAACAGGTTTGTCCTTTTCTCCAGGGTTTGTGGCAACCGATAGTTCGCAAGCAAATGAGGCTTGGCAGGGGTGGCTCCTGGCATGACGGAAGTTCCATGCCATGGGCTCGCAGCAAGGCCTTGGCGGGAGCCATCGACGATGTGGATCGGGCGAGGGTGAACGAGCTGAGCAACCCGGAGCCCGACAAGCCACTAGCGCCCCACTGGCGAGTTTGCTTGTCTCATCATGACTTTTCTTGGTGGGTTGAAAGATCGTTTTCGGATCGTGTTCGGGTGGGCCATGAGCCGCTGTCCAACTAACCAACCAACTAATCAACCAACCAACCAACCAACCAAGCAACCAACCAACCAACCATGGGCTCCAATATCACAGGTGCAGCAGAGGGGTGCGCAAGCCTGCGTGGACATCATCAAGCAAGTGCTGACTGGAATGCACACCCGCGAAGCCCTTCCCTTGCTGATTGTCGACCTGCTGCCATCAAGGTTTCAATATCCCATGAGACTAAAATGATTCCATGTTCCTACTGATACTATAGAACGTGAAATGGGAGATGGGAAATGAGATGTGCAAAGAACCTATTGCACTCTACCCTGGAGGTTTTCCGAATGGTCCCAAGCAGCTTGGCAACTCCAGCGCGACTTCTTGATCGCCACATCCCCAGAGGACCGGGCCTGGGATGTTCGCTTTCTGAGCATCTTCCATGATGATGACGCTAAATATGCGGAGTCCTGCCAGCAGCTCGTCTGTGGTCGGGCGATGCAGCAGTGGTGGGACATCTCAGAGGCTGCTGGACCGAAGGCTCGTGCTTCAGAGCCCTTCTCAGAGGGGATCCCTGAACTGGAGTGCTTGACTGTGGTGGACAACGAGCTGAAGTCTTTGGGTCGATTAATATTTGATTTTTTGGGAGATATCACTTACAGGATCTTTTGAACATTTTTGAACCAATCCTGGGTCTTCTACGTCCGGAAGCGGTGGCGGAACAATGGCTTCGCCAGAATGGGGGGCAAGTGATGGGCCGATCAACTGGAACAAGAGGTTGCATGTCCCTGGGATCCCTGTGGCCGAATTTCAAGCTGGCAATGAGTGACTAGCTGTGCATTAACAAAAGTTCTATCTTTTGCGCCAAGGGTTTAATGTATAACCATGTACTATCATGTTCAAGACTGCCCAGCAAATTTGGTCAATGTTTGATCCTTCTGTCTCGAACAGGTTGGAAGCTTTTGCGCCGCTCGCCCGAGAACCCTCCGTTGAAGTCGCCTTCACCAAGTCGGGCAATTTGTGGCTTGTGAACCGTGGGGTGGCAGCTGTCAACCTCACCCGTGGCGCAGATGTGGAAGTGCCGGCAGGACAAGTGACCAAAAAGGTTGACATAGCTTTGAAGCTTTGGGGTCATTATTGAGGTCACCATTGGGGTAATGTTCAATCGAATACTTTGGCCCTGGAGGAACACCGTGCAACACTGCCATCCCATGGTCCATCCGAAAGGGTTCGTCGGTCCTCATCCTGGTCAAGACCTCGGTGGGCGATGCGGGCACACAAGTCACTCAGAAAGATACAACGACCTTGGCAGACCTACTGTGCTCCGTGGCCAGAACTCGTGGAGTTACAGAAGCTCGTGTGATCGATCTTTCTTTGAATGGCATGGTGAAGGCTGAATGATTCAAGACTATGGAATCATGTAGAAGTTTGAACATGTGTTGGGAATCATGTAGACGTTGGAAGTATTTGCTTTCTGTGGAGGCGGGGCCTGATGGTGGCCAGATCCCGCTCAAATTTCACTATGAAGTCCAGCCGGATACCAAAATCAACGCCTTCAAGCCGAAGCCATTAGCAGATAACTCAGGCTTGCGCGCTGGTCAGTTTGGAGGCATCTTCCATGACCGGATCTTGCAAATCCCAACTGCGCCTCATTGCGACATCGTCTGGGAGGCGGGCGGGTCAGAAACTCAAAAGATGGAATCCAACAAATGTCCAAACACCAGGAGTCAACCCTCACACTTCATGTCCAATAGTGTCCAATCCTGGGAGGTGAAAGTGGGAGAGGAGGTGCCAGCAGTGGTTACTCCACTGAAACCGAAATACTATTTGCTCGCAAGCTGTAGCATCGAAGCGGGCGAAGCCCTGAAGTTGAAATAGTGGCAGGGTGGGTTAAACAGTCTGTTCATGGATGTTTGTTGACACTTTGTGTCGTTGAAATCTTTGGTGAACATGATGTTTGTTGCCGATGTTAGGAGTGAGGGTGTTTGCGCGCAATGCGGCCCAATGAATATAGCAGTGGTCTCATTGGCCTGGGGTGCGCGCCGCACCCTCCCATAAAAGCCCTGCCACCGCTTTTGCCGAAACAACCCCTGATTCTAGGGGCCCATTATTCTCAAGGCATCTCAAGCCTGTCCATCGGAGAGAAAAGCATTCCGATAGTTGGAACAAGCTTCATTGCATGGTTTTGCGGGGTGCATCATTGCAAGCAAACATGGAAACCCAGGTCCCACCGCCCTAGCATTCATCTCAAAGGTGTGAAAGCTAGAAAGGTTGATGCAAGGGTTTCACGCTCTTTTCAACATGGTTCTCCAGCCGGTGGA